CTTTTCTTCTTTTGTTTTTCTTTTCTTTCTCCCGCTTATTCTGCTCTTCTTGTTTGGAGGCACTGAGCCATCCAGTGGCCGGAGTTCTCCCCTTTCCTCTCGGCCGGCCACCCCGACCCTCTCTCTGACCCCTAAACATTTCCACATCCCAGGTAGGAGCTGGAGCATCATCTCTTTTTTCTTCTCTAGAGTTTTTCCTGCTCTGTCTCTTCCCCTCCATTCTTTAATTTAAATCTTTCTCACCCCCCATGATGCATTTATGCTTTTATCTATTTATTGTTTTAATGGTAGATTTTGATGACCCCTTATGCTGAGTACATGTACTGCCACATACGGCTTGCTTTTCCCCAAATCATTATCATAACTGGTTGATTGGAGCATCTTATTTGTGACTGAGACTGCATTAAAAATGTTATTAAAACTAGATCTTTTCTAATTTACAGACCAAGGCATTAACATGTATAGAAAACCACCAATCTACAAACAGCATGGTATGGTTGTTTTATCTATCTATCTATCTATCTATCTATCTATCTATCTATCTATCTATCTATCTATCTATATGTCTGTCTGTCTGTCTTTCTATCTATCATCTGTCTTTCCATCTATCCATCCATACATGCATCCATCCATGTCTCTTTCTATCATCTGTCTGTCTATCTATCTATCTATCTATCTATCTATCTATCTATCTATCTATCTATCTATCTATCTATCTATCTATCTATCTGTCTGTCTGTCTGTCTGTCTGTCTGTCAGTCATCTGTCTTTCCATCCATTCACCCATCTATCTATCTATCTATCTATCTATCTATCTATCTATCTATCTATCTATCTATCTATCTTTCTATCTATCTATCTATCTATCTATCTGTCTGTCTGTCTGTCAGTCATCTGTCTTTCCATCCATTCACCCATCTATCTATCTATCTATCTATCTATCTATCTATCTATCTATCTGTCTCTCTGTCTGTCTGTCTGTCATCTATCTTTCCATCCATTCACCCATCTATCTATCTATCTATCTATCTATCTGTCTGTCTGTCTGTCTGTCAGTCAACTGTCTTTCCATCCATTCACCCATCTATCTATCTATCTATCTATCTATCTATCTATCTATCTATCTATCTATCTATCTATCCCGTAAAACATGTTTGGTGACAGTCATTATGGTGTGTGCGCAAGCATTATTTCTGACTATTATTTTGATTATTTATATATGTTTGTTTATGTGTGTTGACTCCATCCATCGATTAATTTTTGGTAATGATGCTATGATCACATCACATGTTCACATGTAAGTACCATTTGACATCATAAACTTTTCTCATCTCTGAGACTTTCTTTTTCTTTATTTATTGCTTCCTCACTACTGACTCGCTCGCAACAAGAAACCAAAATACTATCTTCTTTAACAGCCGCCGTAAAACTTTGATTCTGCCTTTTAACTGCATGGAGTTATAGCCTGCCAGATCCCATAACAAATTCACTGACACTTCAGATGACTCTGCTTTGGTCTCTATCTTGCATACTCTGTAAATCTACACATCAAGCTAGTTTCAATAAACTGAATGGCACCATTTGAACAGTTGTGCCATTTACTGGTTTCAAAATACAGTTTATATATTTACATTTTCTGCTTGCTTAATTTTATAAAAATCTATAAACTTGCAAACAGTAGCATGTGTGCTCTATCCACTTTATACAGTCCTTTATAAGATGCAGTACTGGCCATTGACATTCAAATCATTTGATACCGTCTCTGTATTACTGTTTTAATAAAAAAAAAATAAAAAAAACAAGAGCAAGAAATAAAAAATATATATATATTTGACATTTTTTGTAATAGGTCATTTACATTTTTAGATATAAAAATCCTGAAATGTCATGCTTTGAACTGATTGTCCAGCACTGCACTTATTAAAACCCTTTGAGAGGCCGTCACTGATAGTGCAGTTCCCCCAAAATACCGATTCAGATTCAGCTGCCCTGGCAGCCCAAAGCAAGTCCGCTGATGACATCATCAAATCATCCAAGTTCCCTGCGGCCCACGCCCCTCGGCCAGACGAAACCGCAAAGATCGAGACCGACTACTGGCCGTGTCCGCCGTCCCTCGCTGCTTTAGGTACGGTCCTGCTGCTGGCTCCTCCAGGCCCAACGGCACAAATAAAACCCTACAGCAACCAAAAACGAATGGAAGTCTTTATTGAATTAAATAATGCTCTCAAAACAATGTATATTGAGAACTCTTGGATTCCTGCTGGTAAATTTAGCCTGTTATTTCCGTCTGGCTACCTACCCCTAAAACCAGTTGTGATGATAGTAAATCGGAAGAACACTAAACACAAGATTGCTTTACAGACACAAAGATTTGCCAACGCTAATAAATCCAATACGTTTCCAATCAACAAATCATTACACCACTCAATCTGATCAATTGTATTGTTATTTTTGTTCCATTGTTTGTTTTCCATGCGTATAACTTGAACTCAGAGGTTCCATTTGAAGGTCATCATGGGTACAATGACATGACAATATTGCAGTCATCTCAATATTTTTTTCTTTCTTTCTTTTTGGCTTTATTTGAAAATCCTTTACTGGTCCTGGATGTACAGGCTCAGATGGGAGGAGTCGGTCACGGGATGAAGAAGAGGACGAGCAACTGAAACGCAGACAACTTCAGGAGGAACATCTCAGCAAGGTCGAGGGCGTATTAATACTTATACATTGCTTGTGTCATTTTTTGGTGAAAGCAATCCTTTAAATGCATATACAGCGTTATTTACACATACACATTGTTTTATTGCCCAAAACCACTGAAAAACTAGACACAGATACACCTTATTTGCATATTTGCACTAAAAACTATTAAAAAAATAATTGGAAGAACTCAGTACTCAGTATTTTTTTCCAGTACAAATATCTAAACAGTCTTAAATCAAGATACATTTACTTGAGATTCAACATGACTTATATTAAGTCTTGTATTTAACTGCAGATCCAGTCTGGACTTGGGAAGCTCATTCTGAAGGAGGAGATGGAAAAGGAGATGAACAGAGAGAAATACGTACGAAGTGTGACCGCCCAGCGCTTTGACTCCCAATACGCTAACTGTACCACAGGTAAAATGCCACATAACTTTGAAAGCAAGCACAACAAATAAAGCTTTACTTTGGCATTAGTCTAAAAAAAGTATTTTGTCCTCTGCTGTAGACTCCCAAACCGTTAAAACATCATCCCTGCCTGGATACGGACGAAATGGCCTCCATCGGGTAAGTCTCAGCCATTCATCTGTTATTTACCTTAATTTAAAATATGGATGCAAAACTACCAAACTCACCACAAAAACTCACCACAGGCTGCATTGATTTGAAAATAAAATGCGGTAAAATCAGCGATATTGTGGAATATTATTCAAATTTATTTTATTCCTGCTATGATATTCATTATTATCAATGTTGAAAACGGTTTATGCTGCTTAATTTTTTTGTGGAAACCATGATACACTACAAATTCAAAAGTTTGGTGTAAGTAAGATTTGAAGAAAAATAAATAAATGAATACCCTTATTCAGCAAGGATGCATTAAACTGATCAAAAGTGACAGTTATTGACATTTATAATGTTACAAAAGATTTATATTTCAAGTAAATGCTGTTCATTGAACCTTCTATGCATCAAAGAAAAATTGATCACAGTTTCCACCAAAATATTAAGCAGCAAAAACTGTTGTCAGCGCCGATAATAATAAAAAACATTATTAATAATGGGCACCAATACTAATTGATAATAACTGAGCACCAAATCAGCATATTAGAATGATTTCTGAAGGATCATGTGACACTCACAGGAATTTCATTTCAAAATACATTCAAATAGAAAACCGTTATCTTAAATTGTAATAATATTTCACAATATTATTACAGTTTTTACTGTATTTTTCATCAAATAAATGCAGCCTTGGTAAGCATACAGTAAGAGTCTTCATTCAAAAACATAAAGAAATATCTTAACATGTGATTTAATTTGTAAGATAATGTTTCTCTCATTAAAAAAATGTACACACAAAGATAATGTTTCTCTCATTAAAAAAATGTACACACATCACATATTAAGATATTTTTTAATGTTTTTGAATGAAGACTCTTACTGTATGCTTACAAAGGCTGCATTTATTTGATCAAAAATACAGTAAAAACTGTAATCATCAACCAGTTTTATGATTGTGAGAAGTTGGTATGCAGATCCCTCCCCAAAAGACTTTCAGATTTATAGTAAACTTTACTCATAGAAGTACGAGTTTGTTATAGTATTTTGAAATGAAATTCCTGTGATGGTAAAGCTTTCTGCTTTTCAGCAGCCGTCAGTGTCACATGATCCTTCAGAAATATCAGTGAATTATTTCTGCAACCCCGTTTTGGAACACTTGAGCGTGTAGAATAAATGAGGTCATATCAGCCAGTGTAACATCAACTAAATTGCATCTTGTCTGTGCTTCCAGCCCCAGTCTACAGAACTCTCTCAGTATAACAGTTATGGGGACGTGTGTGGAGGACAAAGAGGTAAAATCCAATGTTTTAATACTGAAAACACACCTAACAACTGAAAAAAAAGCTATTCTAATAATATAGTAATATTTGGGAATTTTGTCTCTTTCTGATTCATACAGATTTCAAGGTATGTGACTGACATGCAGTGTTTACTGAGCATGTGCATCTGCAGTCATGCACATATGGAAGTCAAATCATGCTACATGTAACCGGAATGGCACTCATGCCCTCATTGCTATGCTTGTGTCTGAGTTTGAGTCATTGCCATGGGGAAAGTCAACAGCACAGTCAAGGGTTTGATATGTTGAAAGTCCCCCCCCCACACACACACACCCTTAAGAGCACGTCACATGAATAGTTAAGTTTCCACCTCCCTCGAGAGAACTTGATACAGAGCAATAGCTGTTAGGAATTAGATTCAGACTATTTCCCATGGTTCTGAGTTCTTGAAAACAGTTTCTGCTTTATTTTCTTATCATTCGCATCACGTGTATGTGTTCTGTTCTATAGCCCACCCAAGATGCCCACGATTCCATTACAAGAATGGACAGGGGAATGTCTATGCCTAATATGTTGGAATATAAAGCAAGTATCCCAAATATTTTCAAATAATTATGTTTCTCTTCTCTCTCCCATCTCTAAATGCTCCTCTGTTCCTCTGTGTTCAATAAATAATCACCCCCCGCCTATCCCAAAAATCAAGATTATTCATCAGTCAGGAGGACTGTTATTTTGGTTGTGCTATGAAATTATGTCATCACATGACATACTCTGTTTTAGCCGTGCCATAAGATTATTCAATAACTTTGAACTCCTGGTTCTCATTAAAGAGGTTTCACAGTTGCATATGGCAATATTTTGTTAAAGTTGTTGCTGTAGTTACCCAGAAGCCTGATTCTCTTAGGACTGAATTTATGCATCGGCCCTGGCTAATAGTTACTGGCAAGATTAAATAGATTGGAACTTAATAGGCTTTCCCAGCAATGCAAGAAACAATAACTGGCATGATTGTAAACTGTCCGTAGGAGTGCTAGCATTAACAGCATTATAATTCCTTCCCGTACATACAGTTGGCAAACCCCTGTGACCTCATTCATTTCAGTAGGGAAAATAAATAGAAGAATTCAACCGATTTATCTTTTTTTTTAATGACACTGACTGTATGAATCTACACCAAATCAAATATCTGTCTTTAATTAGTCATTAGCTGATCTAGTAGTTAAAATATGAATTACACTACAGTTCAAACTTTTAAAGTAAATTAATACTTTTATTCAACACGCATTAAATTGGCAGTAAAAAAGATTTCAATTTCAAATAAATGCTGTTGAACTTTTTTTCGTCAAAGAATCCTAACAAATGTTATCCCAGTTTCCATAAAAAAAATGTTTTCAACATTAATAATAAGAAGAAATGTTTCCTGAGCACCAAATATACATATAATGTGCAATATGCATAAAGCACCAGCATGCATAACACCTAGTAAATTAGTAAAAGCTGTAAAAAAAAAGAAGCCTAAGCTGGTTTGCGGGTCTCACACTGGGATTGTCTCCCAGTGTGGCCAATCTGGTTTTTAGCTGGTTGGCCAGCTTGAACTATAAAACCAGCCCACAAAGTTGGGAGACCAGCTAAAACTCAAACAAGTTTTCCGACATTTACTTATTTTATTTACTATCTACTTAGTTTAAATATGCAATATAATGTCTGCTGCCACTATAAATGCCACAAACACAGAACCGGTCTTGTTTGGTTTTTTGAGTGTTTCTGGACTAGGATAACCAGGACGCACTAAAACACACCCCAGTTTAATTTGTGCTGCCAACTGTATCTATATTGCACTAAAGCACTATATATTACTCCCTATCCTATCCAGCCCTTTCCTATATTGAGAAACACAGACTTTCTGCTTTGGAAATACATGCTCACACTCTCTCTCTCACAAGGCTCACCTATATTCCATCGCATGCTCTGCCACACTCTCACTTGCACCGTGTGCTGCAGTGTCGTACTTTGGCAAGAGTTGGTGTTTGTGTACCCTATTAGAATGCAATGACCGTGCATTATTCCCTCAACCATTTGCTTTCAGCGATTCATTATGTTTGGCAAATGCCTCGCATAGCATTCTCCATAACAACACAATCCCTCCTTTTGTAAAGGTGTACCCATATGAAATGCTCACTGTCGCCAACAGAGGGCGTACTAAGCTCCCGAAGGATGTGGACAGGTCGAGACTGGAGGTAAATAGCACCCGATAGCCCTCACTGTGTGGAAACTGTATGGAAACGTGCATTTTCTGTATTTTGTGACCTAAGTTTGTGCAAATTGTGAATTGCGTAAATCTGAGGAAGTAAATTGCTGCGTTTTCAAATACAGTCAAAATGCATTCATTTGTTCTGTAGAATAAAATAATTACAATAATAATACATTTAAATAATACATATTATTATTAAATACTCAAATGCGTATTAAATAATAACATATTACATATTAATAATTAGAAATAATACAAATGATTATTATTATGCAAAACAATACTTTAAAAAAACTATTTAATGATTAGCATAGACATATTGAATGGGGGAGTGGAAAAAGGTGTTCAGTCTTTTTTTTTTCCTTAGCTGATCACATGCCTGATGACTTATAATTCTCCAATATTTTTTCTCTCCTCATTTATATCCAGCGCCACTTGGCTCCCGAGACATTCTTTGACATTTTTGGGATGGAGATCCACGAGTTTGACAGACTTCCTCTTTGGAAGCGCAACGACATGAAGAAGAAAGCGAAGCTCTTCTAGCTAGCAGATTGTGCATGTTTTAATTTATCAGTCACTCATCTGATGTATTAGAGCTATTAGTCTGATTTACTTTTCCTTTATTGTTATTATTATTGTTTGCATCCAATTACAAGCACAAAAAAGTTTTATTTTGCTTCAAAAAGACCACTTTTTATTTTCCCAAATAGATATCTTTATCTTTAAAATGAGTGAGTGTTTGAATATGAACAAAATGAGGTGCGCGTGACCCCTAGATCCGAACTCAGGAGCGAGGGGAGCTGATGGTGTGCCTGTGCTCATTAAACCTGCCTCCAGGAGCAGAGAGATTTATCCTCCTCCCTCCTGCCCCTCTTGTAAAACAGGACTATAATTTTTTAGATGGGGAACCGGGGCTGTCAGCAGGGATCGCCCTCTAAACAGGCCGTTAAGGTGGTGTAGTTGTTGGGATCCCTGGAGCCCCCCTGCTGCTGAGGACCTAACGAGACCTTTGAAGTGCATTAAAAGCGGGAAATGAGAGCTACTGAAGATCCTCCACCTGCGGAGCCGAGGTTCTGGAAAGCATTAGAAACTGAAATCTGCGTCCTCTCCCACCAGAACTCTGCCGCCTCGTCACAATCCTAAAAAAAAAAAAAAACATCCTACATGTAATTGTAGCAAGCATGTTCTCACCTTAGCCAAAGCCCAAACAGCACTCAAGATAGACAAGTTCTTTATCAAAAACATTTTTGATAGTAAGAAGAGGAGGTAGTGTTTGTTATTATTATTACTTATAAATTAAAAATGTCAATAACTTTATAAAAAAAATATTATTAAATTTTACCACTAGAGGTCAGGCGTGGGAGGATAACAGACATCGGCCCGCTCTGAAACGGCCTCAGACAATCCGTTTGTTTTGACTTCCGGTTTTTCTGCAATATTTAACCATATTTTATTTTTAATAAAGCAAGAACAGCCTTTGAAATGACTGCCTCGGAGGTGTTTCAATACTGCCACTGTGTTGACTTGGGATTGTCGGAGCTGTAGCCATAGCATTTGTGCCAGGTGTAGACTCGATATCAGGGCCGTATCTCGTTGTCGTTATTGCTGCCGAATAATGCTGTTCCCATAGACACTGCTTGCAGATGGATTATGGGCCGCCGTTGGCTATTATTCAAAAGCAGTTTCCTGTGTTACTAGCAGGGTTAATGACAGAGAACTAGGACATATTACAGCATTGTGCTTTTATAGTAGGCCTATTACAAAACATACGACTATAACAAGTGTGATTACTATAAACAGACCTGTATGTCACTTTAAAACAGAATGAGTTGGTTTTGATACCCCCCACTGTGTACCTCGCCCTTTTTCTGTCTTTTTTGAGGGAAAGATTTGATGAAAATGGTGTAAGCTCTGCTGAGTAATAAAACTCTGCTTCAGATCATTTTGTCCTATGTAATTATTACTGTGTGGTGGTGCGCCTTACATGAAATACAACAAGCCCCTGTGCCATAAGGGGGCCATTACAGTGGGAGGTCTGCCTGTTGAGTCACTTGGAAATCCCTGGGTGCTTTCCTTCATGTTCGCTGCCTGATAATAAATGTTCTCGGTGGTATGACCTCTTTCCCAAAACGCTCTCCTCACAGGCTCCACAGAGAGTCGAATTCAAAACAGGGCACTGTGTTACTCAGTGATCCCACTCTTGTAGTTGTAGAAAAGCCTAGAAATATTTGAGCATGCGCTGCCTGCTTATGAATGTATAGAAATGTATAGAAAGAAGTATAGTAGCCAATGTGAGCTGAGTATAGTCTAAGTCTGAATTTAGTATTAATAAGTGAAAAGTACACGGATCTACATCCGGCATGATTCTGAAGTGCGCATTCGATCGACACTTTAAAGACCACGTGAGAGGATTCAGCAACATGGAGGCAGATGTAGTATGTCCGAACTTAATTCATACTACACACATTCATACTATAGAGAAAGTAATGTCAATTGTATAACAAAATTCAAACACTTGGCACTCTTATGTCTTTAAAAAGTTTTTATAATTTTATTATTACAAAAATGCCTTTTGTGCAATTTAAATGTTTGTAGCCTTTAGGTTGTTAACTTTTACATTTAATATTATAGTAGAAAAATGTACCTACCTGTATCCAAATTAATCAATATTGAATCGAATTCAATATACACTCACCTAAAGGATTATTAGGAACACCATACTAATACTGTGTTTGACCCCCTTTCGCCTTCAGAACTGCCTTAATTCTACGTGGCATTGATTCAACAAGGTGCTGAAAGCATTCTTTAGAAATGTTGGCCCATATTGATAGGATAGCATCTTGCAGTTGATGGAGATTTGTGGGATGAACATCCAGGGCACGAAGCTCCCGTTCCACCACATCCCAAAGATGCTCTATTGGGTTGAGATCAGAGGATGGGTACATGGTGGCCATAAAGGGATAGACATGGTCAGAAACAATGGTCAGGTAGGCCGTGGCATTTAAACGATGCCCAATTGGAAGAAAGCCCAAGAAAACATCCCCCACACCATTACACCACCACCACCAGCCTGCAGAGTGGTAACAAGGGATGATGGATCCATGTTCTCATTCTGTTTACGCCAAATTCTGACTCTACCATCTGAATGTCTCAACAGAAATCGAGACTCATCAGACCAGGCAACACTTTTTTCCAGTCTTCAACTGTCCAATTTTGGTGAGCTCTTGCAAATTGTAGCCTCTTTTTCCTATTTGTAGTGGAGATGAGTGGTACCCGGTGGGGTCTTCTGCTGTTGTAGCCCATCCGCCTCAAGGTTGTGCGTGTTGTGGCTTCACAAATGCTTTGCTGCATACCTCGGTTGTAACGAGTGGTTATTTCAGTCAAAGTTGCTCTTCTATCAGCTTAAATCAGTCGGCCCATTCTCCTCTGACCTCTAGCATCAACAAGGCATTTTCGCCCACAGGACTGCCGCATACTGGATGTTTTTCCCTTTTCACACCATTCTTTGTAAACCCTAGAAATGGTTGTGCGTGAAAATCCCAGTAACTGAGCAGATTGTGAAATACTCAGACTGGCCCGTCTGGCACCAACAGCCATGCCACGCTCAAAATTGCTTAAATCACCTTTCTTTCCCATTCTGACATTCAGTTTGGAGTTCAGGAGATTGTCTTGACCAGGACCACACCCCTAAATGCATTGAAGCAACTGCCATGTGATTGGTTGATTAGATAATTGCATTAATGAGAAATTGAACAGGTGTTACTAATAATCCTTTCGGTGAGTGTAGATCGCAATTCACCCTTCGCTGGGAGTTTGAAAGGCGATTTGACCAATCAAAACTCCAAATCAGTCATTTTGTCTGACAAACAGACCAGACAAGAGAATTAGTAGATGTCAGTGGACTTGAACTTGAACAATTGTGTATTGACGTCTTTCCGCGATTGAAACAACATATCCTCTGATGTTCATTCATGTTTATTTTAAGCTAACTGGTAGGAAGATTTGATCAGTTCATGTGCTGCTTGAACTGAGGCGTTACAGCGATCTGTCACGACACATTAAAGAGCCGCAAAACGGTATTTATTGTTTGAATTTCTTTTTAAAAAATGACAAATTTCAAAGCTAAGACTTTGTTTCATACCAAAAGTAACCTGGGCTCCGTTTCTCAAAAGCATCGTGAGCTAAGTTGAACACAGAGACCATTGGTTCCAATGGTTCTACTACAATCTACTTAGGCTTATGATGCTTTTGAGAAACAATGATCTGTCTTTTCTGTCGTTGCGTTATCAGTGACCTCTTTGCACCGTGATGTATTTTTTCACTGTGTGAGCGACGAGCGTGAGAGTCCATAGCTTGTAGCAACAGTAACCAGGGAGGCGGGTCTTTGCGAAGGGTTGAATTGAATCATGAAATTTGTGTCAACCCAGGCAGCCCTACGTTTTTTCATGTTCGACAGACTGACACATACCCACCAAAAGGTATGAATGGAGGTATTTAAGCAAGAAGATGAGTGTTTATTGGTGTTTCTGGTCACCCATACCACTTTCACCCTCCTGCAAATTAGAAACCCTGCTTTTTTCCATGTTCGACAGACTGTGACACGTATTCACCAGTACCAAAAGATACACACACATACACAAAGTTCCCATCCTGTGGAGCTCATTATCATGCTTGGTTTGATTTGCTTTTTAGGACACCCATTCATTATTTTCATGATTTCAGATGTTTTTCTGTGCTGATATTTGGTTCATGCCTGGTTTGTGTTTTAACATCATCCTCATCCATACCGTCTCACTGCTGTATCCACTGAGTATTTAGGATGGCTATACACTGGTCTTGGATTTCAGACCCCACAAGCCCCTGTCAGGATGTCCTGAGTTGAATCTGACGAAAATGTGGCGGTAATTATAGCAGCTTTGCCAGAATACGTGCCACCCTGAATGTTCTCGATGGACCGTTCTCACAGCAGAAAACTGTTTTTCCTTGTATGAGCTAGACTGAACCTGATCGCTCAACGTAGGAGTGGCAGAATAATATTATTTCATGACATAACACTCTCCTCTTGAGGATCCATGGGAGCGCAGATCCGAGTTTGATCAGGTGCCTTGCTTTCCCTGACTGTGTGAAAAGCTACACCGACTTGCCAAGGTGGGTTATTGTCAACAGTCAGCAAGACAGCACAGTAGGTCAGAACTTCAGAAGAACATGAATATGAAGTGTTCAGACCAGGTATTCAATCTTCTATCCTTTTATCCGCCTGCTGGTCAGTTATTGTGTTCGTTGATGGATGGCATCTCATCGCCTCATTGCTCTGACTGATTTACTTGGCACATCCCAAGCACCTCTTTGTGTACAAGGTTGTAATGGTGTTTTGTGAGTGTATCTGTCTATGTGTGTAACATGGGAAAGGTCCTTGAATCAAAAGGCCCCAGTGCTCGTATGGGGCTGAATCAGTGACCCCTGCTCTCTGACTCACAGCTGTGGAATGTTCTTTGTGCTTCAACAGTAGCAGCCAGGAGGATCTGCCAATGTCTGAACCCACACCATCCAGCTGATACACAGCATCCAAACAATGCAACCCTTTTCAGGCATCTGAGTGGCATTCCAGATTCTTCATAAATCTGTTACCTGTTCTAGGAGGCTTTGAACTTGAATCTAAACCTTGGAATCTGTACAAAAGCGTATTCACATTGTTCCTTTATGCTCCATGAGCATGAACAATATGACGTCCCTTATTTTTTCCTTTACAAACAAACCTTTGGGAGGCAGACCACCCTCCGTCAGGCCCCCATCCCACACACGTCCCGCAGACAGTTTTTCATTCACACATCCACCTCTAAATCCACAGGATCAGCTGAGCCTGAATACTGACTGGAAACCTGGTAGATTAATTAAGGAAGTTTGTATAGGGTTCCTCATACTGACTCAGTTATAGGGGATTACCCTGTTGCTCAGAGATGAGTAACCACTGTTGATCCAAAGACTTCTCGCATCGGTCTTTGATATTGAAAATGGTCCCTTATGCCGAGTTCAGACTGCACCATTTTAGCCCCGATTTTGGCTCGCCGACAGGTTTTGAGAAATCACCGACAAATGCCCGAAATCACAGGCAAATCGGTGCTCGTTCACGCGAGTGACAATCAGGCAGTGTGAATGAGCAAAGACGCGATCTGAGAGAATCGCCGACGAGTCGCCGACGCCCGTGAGATATTTGACATGCTAAATATCTGGACCTGTCGGCGATTCACAATCCTGCTGTGTGAATGTGTTCTGACTGAAAACTACATCGGCGATGACCGACAGCCAATGAGAGAGCAAGATACAGGGAGGAGGAGTTATAGACGACCAGAATGTCAGTATTTTAATAGATAGGCCTATATTTACAATTATATCAAACAGAAACAAAGCACAAACATTTGCATGACCAGCAGCAACAGCAGGACATTTGCAAAATTATTTATTTACCCCCAACTCTCTTTGCAAAACACAGTGCTTGCTCCCCTCGTCTTCCCAACCATTTCCTGCATAAACTGTTTTTTTGTTTTTTTTCATTTTCGCTACAAATCAGTGCACAGACAATTTGTAGGCTATCATTTTTAATAACAAATTCAGTGTCGCGCGAGAACTCCGGTCTCACGCACGCGTGATCTTCCGTTATTTCCTATCACTTCTCGCGTTTGTTTGGTTGTGAAACGTAGTTTGCGGACCAGGCAGAAGTTGTCGGCGATTCTTTCTTAAAGTCATGCAGTGTGAAACCTCCTGTCGCCGATCCATCGTGCAGTGTGAACACAGCAGCAAATGTTACCCCAGATAGTCATGCAGTGTGAAAACAACAGTGACCCGATTATTTTGAAAATCGTGCAGTCTGAACTCGGCATTAATGCACAACATTGATGTGTTTTCCATCAATTGCAGATTCAAATCCATGAAAAATTAAAGCTG